CTTATGCTGCTGATATTAGTAAATAGGAAATTATATCATTTTCTTGTTTTAATTTTTTTTCATTTCTTCAGTTATTTCCTGGTTTCCATACCTAGGTAAATGATGTCATACATCCCAGGAGTCTTTAGAAGCTAAGGGCAGATGGCCGTGGCTAGAAATGCTAGAGGGATGTTTTTCAAAGTGAGTTCTCAGCAAAATAAAGCAATGTTTACACAGTAAGTTGTGTGAAGATTCACTTCAATTAACCAATCGTGTAAAAGGAAAATCCCTGATTACTTATTTCATCTGCAGATGATTGGATAATTGCAGTGACTATCTACAGAATGTATTCTGTGAATGTTTTTAAATGCTTAAATAAATCAACCTATCATACTGTATCTATTAGATATGGTTGTTTCTTCTTTTTATTAAAAGATTTTTTAAAGTGGTATAAAGCCAAGACAATTCTACCCTAAGATGTCTCATTATTTGTATCACCCCTTCACCTCCCTAAATACTTAAGTATTATCTTGACGGTGTGCAGCAAAACGTTGATGATTTTGTGATCACGCCCCAATATCTTAACAATTTCAAGAGTGCTGCATCCCTCTGAGCCCTGGATCAAACTGATGCGGTGTGGAATTTACAGCATTTTCTGTGTGAATTCCGCACTGCATCAGAATCGCACTCCGTTCATGCGAACCGCTGCTGGTGTGTATGTTAAGCTAATAACACCCCGAAAGTGGTCCAAAAAACACGGTGTGATGTGCAGAATTTAGATAGCATACAGTGCGGTTCCTGTGTGAATCACATGCGATATACCGCACCGCATATATGTGAACCCGGGCTAAAAGACTTTTTACAATTTACTTTTCAGAGTCCGTTAAATCTCTTTCTTGGCCCATTTTGCCTGAGGAAAAGCTGCCTAATAATTATGCACACCTTTCAGGTGTTGCTCTCCTTAGGCCACAAATACACATTACCTGATATATGCTTAACCGCTTCCCATCCGCCCTGTAGCAGAAGCACTGCTACAGGGCAGCACGGGTGCGCAAAATCACACACATACATATATATATATATATATATATATATATAGTGGGGATCGAAAGTTTGGGCAGCCCAGCTACAAATTTGTATTAATGTGCATAAAGAAGCCAAGGAAAGATGGAAAAATCTCCAAAAGGCATCAAATTACAGATTAGACATTCTTATAATATGTCAACAAAAGTTAGATTTTATTTCCATCATTTACACTTTCAAAATAACAGAAAACAAAAAAATGGCATCTGCAAAAGTTTGGGCACCCTGCAGAATTTATAGCATGCACTGCCCCCTTTGCAAAGCTGAGACCTGCCAGTGTCATGGATTGTTCCCAATCATCGTCTGGGAAGACCAGGTGATGTCTATCTCAAAGGTTTTAAATGCCCAGACTCATCTGACCTTGCCCCAACAATCAGCACCATGGGTTCTTCTAAGCAGTTGTCTAGAAAACTGAAAATAGTTGACGCTCACAAAGCTGGAGAAGGCTATAAGAAGATAGCAAAGTGTTTTCAGATGTCAATATCCTCTGTTCGGAATGTAATTAAGAAATGGCAGTCATCAGGAACAGTGGAAGTTAAAGCAAGATCTGGAAGACCAAGAAAAATATCAGACAGAACAGCTCGCAGGATTGTGAGAAAAACAATTCAAAACCCACGTTTGACTGCACGATCCCTCCAGAAAGATCTGGCAGACACTGGAGTTGTGGTACACTATTCCACTATAAAGAGATACTTGTACAAATATGGTCTTCATGGAAGAGTCATCAGAAGAAAACCTCTTCTACGTCCTCACCACAAAAATCATCGTTTGAACTTTGCAAATGAACATATAGACAAGCCTGATGCATTTTGGAAACAAGTTCTGTGGACCCATGAGATTAAAATTGAACTTTTTTGCTGGAATGAGCAAAGGTACGTTTGGAGAAGAAGGGGCACAGAATTTAATGAAAAGAACCTCTGTCCAACTGTTAAGCATGGGGTTGGATCAATCATGATTTGGGGTTGTGTTGCAGCCAGTGGCACAGGGAACATCTCACGAGTAGAAGGAAAAATGGATTCAATAAAATTTCAGCAAATTTTGGATGGTAACTTGATGCCATCTGTGAAAAAGCTGAAGTTAAAGAGAGGATGGCTTCTACATATGGATAATGATCCTAAACACACCTCAAAATCCACGGGGGATTACATCAAGAGGCGTAAACTGAAGGTTTTGCCATGGCCTTCACAATCTCCTGACCTCAACATAATTGAAAATCTATGGATAGACCTTAAAAGAGCAGTGCGTGATAGACAGCCCAGAAATCTCAAAGAACTGGAAGACTTTTGTAAGGAAGAATGGGCAAAGATACCTCAAACAAGAATTGAAAGACTCTTGGCTGGCTACAAAAAGTATTTACAAGCTGTGATACTTGCCAAAGGGGGCAGTACAAGATATTAACTCTGCAGGGTGCCCAAACTTTTGCAGATGCCATTTTTTTGTTTTCTGTTATTTTGAAAGTGTAAATGATGGAAATAAAATCTAACTTTTGTTGACATATTATAAGAATGTCTCACCTGTAATTTGATGCCTTTTGGAGATTTTTCCATCTTTCCTTGGTACTTCTGGGGTTTATGCACATTAATACAAATTTTTAGCTGGGGTGCCCAAACGTATTTAACACATGATCCCCACTGTATTTATATATATATTATAATGTATATATATATATATATAAAGAAGTTTGCATTCACAAGGGTTGGAGGCGCACGTAAGGCACGCGAGTGCCCTACCCCCCGCCGCCATTCACGGTCTCGGCTGTCAATCACCGGGTCCTGGCCGGTGATTACTCGCCGGAGCCCAGTGATTGCTGAGCATCTCCGACAGGGTGGGAGAACGGTTTGTAAACAATACAGTTCTCTCCCCTGATTACTCGCCGGAGCCAAGTGATTGCTGAGCATCTCCGACAGGGTGTAGGGCCCAGTTCAGAACGGTTTGTAAACAATACAGTTCTCATCAGCTGCGCGAACTATCCGTCGCTCCTGCACACTGCTTTGCATGGCTGTGCATAGCACAGCCATGCAAAGCAGTGAGCTTACAGTGAAACACAGACACACACAGCCCCTAGTTAAACAGCAAACAATTAACCATTTGATCGCCCCACATGTTAACCTCTTCCTGCCCAATGTCATTAGTACAGTGTCAGTACTTTAGCACTGATCACTGTATTGGTGTCACTTCGGGGATGTCAGTGACAGCAAGTCAGTTTCCCCCCAGTGTCAGAATACCCACCGCAGTCCCACAGTCCAGCAATAAGCTGCTGATCGCCATTACTAGTAAAAATGAAAAAAAAAACATCCCAGTATCTATACTGCCATTTGTAAACGCTATAACTTTCAATGAAACCAATTTATTTACACGTATTGGGATTCTTTTTTTTAGCAAAGACATGTAGCAGAATACATTCTGGCCTAAATTTATGATGAAATTTGATTTTTTTTTTACTGGACATGTTTAATAGCAAAAAGTAAAAAATATAGTTTTTTTTTTTCTCAAAATTGACGGTCTTATGTTTTTTTTTATAGCACAAAAAATAAAAAAACCGCACAGGCGATCGAATACCACCAAAAGAAAACTACTCGTGGGAAAAAAAGGATGTAAATTTTGGTGCAGCGTTGCATGACCGCGCAATTGCCAGTTAAAGTAACGCAGCGCTGAAACACAAAAAATGGCCTGGTCAGGAACAAGGGTAAATCCTCTGGAGGGCAAGTGGTTAACGTGTTTAGGTTGTGCTAAGTATCTCTTTCCAGAGGCCTCCTGTGTTGGTTTTCTATTGTTAGAAATACTTTCTAAACACATCCTAAATGTGCTGTAAACACCAAAGGGGCATTTGTGGCATGTTTGCAGTGTGATTGCAGCCTGTTTACACTGACATCAGTGGAAGTGTTTGGGGGATGGCAAAACCTGCCAAATGACAAATGTTGGTCAATTTTGATGCAACCTGAAGCAATGCAAATGCAACCATGTGAATGGCAGTGGCTACTGCACACAGGTTTGACAGGAGTTCAGGGTTAAATCCAATAAGCATTCAAGTTTACACAGCTTGTAGTTGGGCAATATGCATAAAAATTATGATTTGGTAAAAAAAACTCACTTGCCTAATATTTGTGCACACAGTGTATAATATAACATGCATTAAAGGTAATGTGCAGTGAATTAGTTTTAAAATTGATATAAATATGAAATTCTGCATACTATATTTTTGTATTTCCATATTCAGCAAGCAGGTGGAAGTCTAGAAATATATCCTTTTACCACGCCCTACCACCTGTTCAAACAGTCCCTAGGAAGTTTTAATCTGAAAAATGCAGTCTTGAAAAATAAGCAGCTGTCAATGTGCACTCTTTATAAAACCCATAAAGGTTGACTCTCAGATAAAAGTCCCACATCAGTTGACAAAACTGTATTTATGAAAATGGGGCATTATCTCCAAGTCGTGTAGTTCTTTGGTCACTACTAAACAAGGGAAGCATTGAAAAACACATTTGATTTTTTTAAACATAAGCGGTGCATAAAGGAAAAATGAGGATCCTCCATCTGCAGATGTGACAGGTGTTCTTTAAATGTCAATCAATGATGTGCATCTCTCAGCCCAATCTCACTGGCTGCTGCAGCCGAGGTTACCCTAGGACAGGCTTGAGTTTCACTTGCAGAATAATCCAGTGCTAGCATGTTCTAATTACAGAACAGTATTTCAGAAACTCTGTATTAGACTCATAGAGTGCACAGCAAGATTTTAATACCCATTCGGCTTAGGTTTAATTAAAAGGTAGGAGCAAGAAAGGAAAAATGTAGCAGAGGTTATATGAATATAGTGGAAGAAAAAACGCACCGGAAGGGATAATTCTACAGCGCCATAATAGCTCTAATTTTACCCAGAAGAGGTCTTGAAAAGCTTTTGAAAAGGGAGTAAAAGCAAAAAATATATGTAAGTGAATTACCTGAACATTTTCTCGAAGATCAGTGGCCTCTCGAAGAGAAGGAGTAGCCGTCCTAAACACCTCGTCAATTGCTTTGATGCCTGTAGTCTTTGTTGATGTATATTCACGAACCTTCTTGCCTTTGCGTACAGAAAGCCCCCTCTTGTGTGCTTTTCCACCTCCTCTTCTGTTAGTGATAGCAATATGGACAAACAATGTGGTGTTTTGGAGGAACTCGCCTGTTAAAGACTGTAAAGGAACATGTCTAAAGCCAGTCTGCAGGCACTCAAATGGGATGGTATATTGGGCTATAAACTCATCTCCAATGAAGTCATCATCTAGTACTACAAATCGCAGTATAGCCAACTCTGGAAGGTTTATGTGAAATTCAAAGCTGTCATCAAATATCGGGTTGTCCCCATTTTGTGTTACTGTTTTTGTCCGGTGTTCTGCACAATCAGCGGGTATCCCATGTATCTCTACATACAAATATGGTTCTACCACATCTCCCTTTGCTCCTGATCCTTTAGGTTTGGGAAGGTTTTGACCACTAATAATTTTTAGGTGAAGCAGCTGAGCCGAAACACCAGGCAAAGAGTCCTTTGCATTGGCGCTAAAATAGGATACTTCTTCCCTCATTATTGAGGGACGTAGGACATAGCCACAGTTTCCATTCTGTCTAAACCATCCTGTATTAAGATCCATCATAAGACCTGGGGTTTGGTAGTTCATGGCCACAATCTGGCAGCCACATTTCCAGAAATCTTGGGGGTTCATATTGCTAGAATCTATTCGCATTGAACTTGGGTAGATCCTTGAGAGGAATCTTTTGTTGTATTTTACAAACTCTTCAGGATATTCATTGGCAAAGCGACTAGCAGTAACCTCGTTAAAGGAACATATCTGCCAGTATTTTTGGTTTCTTTTAGAGTTTTCAAAGTCCTTGAACTTTGTGGACTGGCACAGAGTTACCTGGTCTGAGAGTTCTCTACAGAGTCGCAGTTTTCTGTGGCCAGCCCCATTAAGATGTTCACGACCATCGTGACCCAATCTCCTAGCAATCTCCATGCCTTCATCCTCATCTGTTACATCTCCCTCTGAGTCAGAATTATCTGAAGGCAGCTTCTTACCTTTTATTAGAATCTTGCCTTTCAGTTGTTCTGGAGATGGCAAGTAGATTTCATCAGGGCATGCTGGATTTAAATAAAGTTTGTCACCAAGGATCTTTTTTAAGCACTGAGCCATGAAACGCTGTTGTCGAACAGAGCAATGAACTACCAAGCAAAGGATTAATGGGTACTCTGATGCTTCAAATGCATACTTGTCTATTACACTTATTACACTTCGAAAAGCCACCTGTGAAACCACAGACACACCAAGGTAAATAAGAGGCTCATTATCTGGGCCATCCCAAACAACAAGCTCAATGCTTCGACATCCCATCTTAAGGGCTTGTATATAGCCACTAATATCGGATGTGCCCCAGTAGTGATCTTCTAGATGGCATGCATTATGAGCAGAATTGATGTAGTAGTGTGATAATGGTCTTGTCATATCCTGACAGACCACCTTATGGTGAGGATCAAATATATAACAGTCCGATGAAAGAAGATAACGGGTGAACCCATCAATTGTGAGGTATCCTTTTTCACGTCCTTCTTTGGAAGGCTCATACTTATTGATGATTTCCAGTGCTGTAATTTCATTTACCTCTTCCATACCTTGTTCCACTTCCATGAAGATCATCAGATCTTTTAAGTCCAAATACTCTTTATTGCTAGAAAACTGAACCAGTAAAAAGAATACCTCTGGTCTGGTACACAGTTCACAGTAGGCCTCTCCAAAAACATCACAAGTAATATTACTGCCATATTTATCACTAGCTTTCTGCAATTCCTTGAATTTTAGTTCTACAGTTGAAGCCTTCATACCAGGGTTAAGTCCCTTGATAAGTTGAATGGATCTAGATAATGGAATGTGTCCATTTTTTTCTATATCAGCAATCTCAAACAAAGATGAGATCCACAGTGTTCTTAAACTTGTTTGATTAGCTCCTACAACATCCGGAGTGTGCTTTCCATAAGATACCAAGTACCTAAGCCCCATCACCCAAGTGTTGACAATATCAGCAGTACTGGCAACAAGGTCCAATGATTCATAGTTTTCCCCATAAATAATAGAAAAGGCACATTCTTCTGGGAACTGATCAGATAGACCATTACTTCTCAAAACTGGAGTTTTCTTTCCAACACGCACCTCACGAATTGATTTGATTTCCAGTTTAGCTTTCTCTGAATCCTTCTTCGAAGGCTCCCATCGTAGAAAACGCATGTCTGGATCTAAAAGGAAAAAACGATTGTACATCCTGGAGTTGGAGCGCACTTTCTTCATCTCACATCCTTCCATCATGAAGGAGATGCAAGCAGCTGTGCTATTGATCTTTCGATTGTTGGGCATTGTGCTGAAGGACACGGTTTTCTTTTGTTTTTGACGGGATCCATCCTAGGAGACATTAACACAAGAAAAAACAGTAAGTGAGGCAAAAATATACAGAAAAACAAAACTACATGACACCACATTTAAGGGCCATAATAAAACTTTTGCTTTTACGGTACATGTTAATTTGACAATATATGTGCCCAGAAGAGCTTGCATAATATCACATCAAAAATCAATTGACCGGTTGTGTATTTATGTGAAGTCTGTTATCTCTAACATTTACATAAGACATCTCTATCCATGTTCATAGTTACCCAAACACATGAATAAATATCTACTGTCCACAAACAATTAACCAAACAATCACTCATTCAAACTAGGACACAATCAGCTTGAGGAAATGGTCATATCTCTGTTGGCAACCCTATAGAGCCACCGACTGCAATAGAGCCTTTAAGGAGTTCTAATCATTCCCCATTTTATCCAAAACTTAAAAAAATAAAAAAGCTTGAGGTATAGATAGAAGTCTGTGTCAATGGACTTGGGCATGTGAAGTTGGCATCAGTTTGAGGCACTTCTGAGATCATTTAGAATTAATTCTCAGGTGTATTTGACCAGCAGTTGACCTCCTTCTCTGACCTGCATTTGGCCTGCTTAAAGTTCAGGTTTTGCATGCCTATAGACTTATATGGGGAATGCAAACCCTTTTTAATGCAATCGATCGAGCTTCAAGACAGGCCCTAAAAACCTGTGCCATTTAAAGAGGACACATCATTAAATTTCACACGAATAACTGTGAGACTTGTCAGGATAACTAAAACATATTAGTATTTTCAGTAGAAGTGTAGCTCTTTGCTGCCATGTATTAATAAAAAAAAAAAAATCACTGTTTCTGAGCAGCTTAGCCTAGGTTAAGCTCAGGCAGTCTTTGGCTATCAGGAGCATTATGAGAGATTTATTGCATTATAGCCTGCCTGGAAGACTTGTCAAGAGATAAGAGGTTCAGTATAATATACTCCATTATAGCTGCTGCTATGTACCTATGGAATTACAAACAATGCCTACATACAAGGATTTTTGTTACTGTTAAAATTTTTATTAACCTGATGAAATACAACAAACAATAGCCCTTTTACAATTCTTTATTTAAACTGAGTATGTCATTAGAACTAAGAAAGAAAAGAAGAGGAACTTTTTAGAATGAATACAACAAAATAAGATGCAGCTGAATATGCATGCAAATCTTGATTTTTCCAGTGAAAGATGGCCCATCCACTGATCTTCTAAATTGGTTAATGAGACCACTTGACACATTAGAAACCCAACAGGGAATTTTAGATAGTGGCAGGGTTGGGACAAAATCACATTTTACAGGAAAGAAATTCAACTACTTACACCTTTGGATCTTCTAAATCTTTTGGCATGCTGTTTTCCTTGGAGCCAATTTTAGTTTATACATCTGTTTACAGTTTTAAATTGCCCAGTTTTGTGACAAGTTTAATTTAAAGAGTAACTCCACTTTTGTTGAGAAATAAAACCCAATCTCCTCTGTGTGGTCAATGAACACTGCTGGAATGTTAAACTTTGTAGCACATTTCTACATGTTTCAGCTTTGGATAGCGGTTTGTTTTACCATATCCTTTGCGAACTTAATCTAAATGGGAGGGACTAGTTCATTATAATATCTGGTGCATTCTTAGTGTTTTATTGAAAAAATTTCAGGGTCTGCAACCCTTTAGAAGTAAATAACCCCATTACAGTGTAAATTCTTATGGCAGAGGATGCCTAAAATCTGACTTGTATTTTAGTGCAGAGTTCAGAGAAAATCAGTGAGCCAATCACACAGGCAAGAAATGACATGTCCACATTGTGTTGAATTTTAACAGAAAGTTATAGTGACTGCAGATTGAAAATGAAAGGTCACACCCTACCTTCGGTCTTAGTTTTACTTACCTGATTTTCTGTTTCTGCAGGCTTCTTCCTGCTAAACTGATCCCCGGAGCCTCTTATCTCTATACTTTGGTGGTCTAAGATCCTCTGATGTCATCAAGACCAATGCAGGGGCCATAGTCCTGTATAGGACATGTGGACACTGAGGGGCAGTCCACTGTCAGAGTGTAGGGGAGCGCCGTCTGCCAGGGGAACACATAATTAGGGAAGTAAGAGTGCATTCCTGTCCCCTAGACAAAAGGAGCTTTTAACCCTTGCAGTGCAGACACTGAGCAGAGGTAAGTGCTGTTTATGGTTGGGTGAAAGTGTGATCCTATTCTGTGAAAACAACTATATACTGTATGTTATAATGGGTGGAGCCTGTGGGGCATTTGACAACTTATTTTAGTAGTCGGTGCTTGCAGGACTTTTGAATTATAGCAGTTCCCCATCAGGTCCACTCCTGTGATTGACAGCATTGTGAGAATAGTGACATGTGCTCTGAGTAGGGATTTCCTGCATTATAATACAGGTGTGCTGGTTCCTCATTAGGTCATCATCCACAGACCTGCAGACCTAATAGAAGAAATGAGGGTCAGAGAGTGTGGACAGGATACATTTTTGGCTGGGGATATGCTGAAGAAGAGCATACGAAACTGGGAACATGTTACATGAGGCTAGTAGAGATCAGTGTTCCCACTACAGACTGCTGAGGTCCGAGGGCTGCACATTATATGCCAAAAGGCCGTGGGTTTGGCACCAGGGTCTTAAGCCATCAACCAGCGCCATCCCTGTCCTGAATGTAGTCTTTGGACACTTTGAAACAGAAAGCCTTAACCACTTGCCTCCAGGGCACTTATACCCCCTTCCTGTCCAGGCTTAATTTGCAGCTTTCAGCGCTGTCACACTTTGAATGACAATTGCGCAGTCATGCAACACTGTACCCATATGAGATTTTTATAAATTTTTTTTAGACAGATAGAGCTTTCTTTTGGTGGTATTTAATCACCTCTGGGTTTTTTATTTTTTGCTAAACAAACCAAAAACCACTGAAATTTTTTTTTTAAAAAAGTTTTTTCTTAGTTCTGTTATAAAATTTTGTAAATAAGTGATTTTTCTCCTTCACTGATGTGCACTAATGAGGCTGCAGTGATGGGCACTGATAGTCTGCATGGATGGGCACTGATAGGCATCACTGATGAGGAGGCACTGGTAGGTGGCACTGATGAGCATTGACAGGCATCACTGATGTGCACTGAAAGGCAGCACTCACATATGACACTGATAGGTGGCACTGATAGGCAGCACTGATGGGCACTGATAGGCGGCACTGAAAGGCAGCTCAGATGGGCACTGATATGTGGCATTGATGTGCACTGGTAGGCACTGATATGTGGCATTGATGTGGCACTGATGGGTACTGGCAGGTTGCATTGATGGGAACTGACAGATGCTATTGATGGACACTGACAGGTGGCACTGCTGGGGCTACACTGATCATGCTCTATGTGGTCAGGCTGTGGAAAAGTCTCACACATTTGGTATCATTATATTCAGGAGGAGTAGCAGAAAGTATTTTGTGGTGTAGTTGCAAGTATGTCTGTGCTGTGTGTGAGAAATAACTTGTTAATTTGACAATTTTGTAATTTTATGGGGGGAGGGGGATCTTAATTTTCCAAAGAATTGTGGGAAAAAATTACAACTTCAAAACTCACTCACCATGCTTCTTACTAAATACTTTGGAATGTCTACTTTCAAAAGGGGTCATTAAGGCTTGGTTCACATCTGTGCGGGTGGTGCCGCTGCGGATCCACACAAAAGTCAGTGCAGCTGCACCACCCGCACAGAGGAATGCAGATCCACAAGCAGGTGCCATTAGTTCTAATGGCACGCTGCCTGCACTGGAAAACGCAATCATACTGGGAACCGAGGTTCCCGTGTGGGCTGTGTTTTCAGAAGAAGTGCGGGGACATCTTCCCTGCGTGTCACGGGGCATGGGAGTCCATTCAAATGAATGGGCTCTCGTGCCTGCGCAAAACCCGGCCCGCACGGCCGCATATATGTGAACCAGTGGTTAGAGGGTATTTGTACTGTCCTGGCCTGTTAGGGCCTCAAGAAATGAGATAGGCCATCGGTACATCAGGTGTGATCAGGTGTCATCAATTTTCAGTGAATGGTACCTTAGCTTGTAGACTCTATAGCTTTCACGCAGACCAAATAATATGCACTGATTTGTGTTATTTTAACCAAAGAAATGTAGCAGTATAAATTTTGGTCAAACTTTATGAAAAAAAATTACTTATTTGCAAAATTTTATAACAGAAACTAAGAAAAACACATTTTTTCAAAATTTTCAGTCTTTTTTTGTTTATAAAAAACCCAGTGGTGATTAAATACCACCAAAAGAAAGCTCTATTTGTGTGAAAAAAAGACAAAAATTTTATATGGGTACAGTGTTGCATGACTTATTGTAATTGTAATTCAAGGCTGGTACATTAATGCATGTTGTGTTAGACAGTCTAAACATTTAAATAGCCATATATACCAGAATGGACAAAAAAGTGGATATGCGCCATTCTGTCCTAACACTACATACCATAATGCATTGTACAGCATTACCATGCATTGTGGTGCACTGCAACCCATGCACGTCAGAAACACATTGCCTTACTATGTTGAGGTTTTGTTCATGTCTCCTGGGAGATAATAGCATTTGCTCTGTTTAACCTCCAAGGTTTTTTCTTTTTACAAAAAGTTAAGAGTGGCAGGACATCAAAAAGAAGTATGAGCAGCTGCTGGACCTGCCATTGAAGTTGGTTGGTTGCTTTGCCCTGAATGGCCAAGGCACAGGTTCCCTTTTTAACTAGCCATCTGATAACCCCATTTCGTTACATTAGATAGTCCATTGTTCAGAGTAATCACAGTTTTCGGGAGCTGTCTTTTAAACAGACATTGTATAGAAATGTAGTGTTTTCAACAAGGTATGATGTAATACACTTAGTACCCTAATAGGATCACTTTAAATTCCGCTTCCAGCTTTTATGACTTTTATTTACTGGATCTCAGCACGCTATTATATACGCATATGGTTAACTTTGCTTTATTCAGCAATTTCAATCCACATATTTATATCATC